AAGCAACAAGCATATGTTTACTTTAGAAACTATTAGTTATATTAGTTAACATGCACCGAAGCACGTAAACGAACGTAAAGCCTCATTACTGAACGAAACAATCGTCAAAACTACAGTTCCCTATTGGCTGATAGCACTCAATCCGTTCTCAACCGTATAATAGCAAGCTCTTATTGGATAAACGTTTGGCATAATTTATTCGCACGAAAGTTGGCAGTGTGTTGGTGATTTACATACGATTGCTTACGTACGGAATGTATAAACGCGAAATTTGCATGCATGAGATGTCAGTTATAACTCGAGACGTCTCGCTCATTTCCTGAAAAACTGGCACGCTTGATGCATGCCATTCTTTACCAAGTAAACTAAAACTCAGAATATCCGCAGAATGTTAACTGCTATAACTTTGGAAGTCGACCTGGCCGCTGTTTGTACACGAAAATTTAGTTCATTTTCAATGGAATTTGATGACTCGACAGTCTCGTGCCATATCATATGCTGTATGAATATGTATATGAATTTGCATGAAAGTAAACACAATTCCCAAAGGGCAAAATTGCAACAGATGTCTATACTATAGACATTGTCATTGCGTTACTCAACACAGTATGTTTCGTAAATATTTCGATTCCCAAAGCCAAAGGCAAACATATTTGTGAAGAGTTTAAATTCGTTCATGAATCAGGCCCGTTTCATACGTCGCACTATCGTCGAATTTAATTCAGACGAATTTAATTGAACCAATTAAATGCGACGTTAGTGCGTCGTATGAAACGAATTAAATCCGTCTGATGAATTAAATTCGTCCAAGACGTTTTATCCGTCATGGTCAGACGGATACAACGTCTGTAGCGCGTCTTCATTTCATACGACGTGTTATCGTCGTGTCGAATTAAATGCATAAATTATGTTAAAGTCTGTTTCTCTCTTTCTGATCTCGTGGTTTTTACTTCTGGGTAATCCATGATCGCTAGACATGAAATGAATTCGTCTGAATTAAATTTGTCGTTTGAAACGAAACCATTTTAGTGTCGATCGACCAATTGACGAATTTAATAACGAATTAAATTCGTCTGAATTAAATTCGACGTATGAAACAGGCCTCAATCATGACATTACGAGATTTTAATATAGCGAGGGCATGTACATATCAACGATATTTCAGCATTGAAGCATGCATATAAACACGGCGAGCCAGAGTAAAATTTTAATTTAAAATCGATAGAAGAAAATGGATCGCTAGAAAATTTTTATGGCCAGTCTGTTTTTGGGATTTGACCTTGAAGGCTGAACGACCAATTAATGTATTCTCTTGTGACTCTTAGTGTCTGGAGATTCAAACATTTTCTGTGCGAATATAGTTGGACATATGTCTGCACGAGAATGAAAACTTTGCATATGCAAACATATTTTCGCAGCGATAGTACGTTAGGCAATCTCTAGACTCTATAGTGACCTACACGACTACACATGTCGACATAGCTTCAAATCGAAATTGTGGTTAACTGACAACATGATAAAGTCTTTAGAATTCGCACATTTTACAAACAATATGCATATCTATGGTCTCATTTACACATATTACATGTGCAGCCAATCAGAATTCAATTTCATACGTTTGCAAATTAACATAACTGAATATACGTTCGTTTACGTGCTTCGGTGAATGTTAACTATTGAAACGGTACGGATACGGATGCAAGTGAAGTAAATAATTCATATTTCTGCATATATTTCACGCAATCAATCATTGCTCAAAATTAAAACTGATTTCCACTTTGATATGCAACGCCAACGATTTTAATTGTCCCAAAACCGGCCAAATTAATCTTATATTTTTTATGCTTGAGGATCAACACCAAGTTAAAGTGCCCCTGACACAAAATTTTTTTTTCAGTCTATTGAAAGTACTCATTTAGTATAGTGTTCTAGCGAAAGAATTTTTCGATTTCATCAAAACGAAAAAATTTTAGAGCCGTTTGAATCCAAATATTTTTGGCTAATGGCCGTCGGCGACAGAAGTCTGGCACTAGCATTTATTCTGACGTCACGCA